TCAAGGGAACAATGAATCCCTTATTCCCATTGAAGATGCTGGAGGTGAGACAATTGGTGACACTGGAAGGGATGACAAAGCGCCAGAAGTTTCTCCAGAAGAGGAGACATCCAGTGGGTCGTCAAGATTGGCTGGCACAAGGATGTTCTTGTGGTCAGTGTACTCTCGCGTTGCTTCCAACTGGGATTTTTCTACGCAGGACCGCACGACTGGTAAGATCTTTGACAGCACAAAGGGGTATCCTGGTGAAGGACCAGACAATGGTGGTGATTTTTCCTCTAAGAGGAACTTACCCTGGATCTCTGAAGACTACCTCGACGAAGTGGTGTCAAAAAAGATGGAAAGGTCTTCAGATATGGATAGGTTGGATGGGTTTGTTCCGGAAAGTGAGGGACAGTTGGAAAAGGTAGAGGTGGAGAATGTTACTGCCTCTAGAATTCTTATGGCTCTTTGGAAAAAGGGATATAGAGCTGGGTATAGGAGGTTGTGTCGTTCGAATGTATCTGGATGCAAGCTTGGAGCAATGAAACATCCAATCAAAAGGGTGCAGAAGATCGGCACTAGAAAGGCCTTCGTGAAAATGTTCAATGTTTTTGGATTGTCTCAGCGTGGCTCAGGAGATGGCGGAAAACCAATCATGAAGGTGGTAGGACCAAGGCCAGGTTTTCCAGCTGTACTCCAAGCATCAAATACTGATAGCACCTTGGGTGAAGGGAGCAGTTCTCAGGTACGTGGCAATGTTCATGTAGAGCAGAATCGCCCTATGGACCGGTACGAGGCGGAGCGCTTGGAGAAGAGGAAGAAAGGCTTCTGCTATTGGTTCAGCAGGGGAAAAGATCGCTGCAAATTTGGTGAACACTGCAAATTCATCCATTCAGAAGATGATGTGGTGCTGCAATCGTATTGGTGCAAATACTATGTGGCTGGGAGACCCTGCTTCGCTGGAAAGGAGTGTGCGTTCTCGCATGATGCAACTGGTGTAAGGTGTATCCAGTTTGCTCAGTCTGGGAAGTGTCGTTATGGGGACAGGTGTGTCTTTGAGCATGGTGATCCGCTGGATGAACAGAGGCCAAGGTCTCCAAGGACGCCCCCAAGGGACGGTCCAAGGAGAAGTTCTGGTGCAAAAGGTGGAGAAAAGGAGATCTCTCCTGAACGGTTCGATGATGGTGAGGAGGATTTCATGGTTTACGATGATGATACCAAAATGGTGGAACTGTTGATGGAGGCGATCTCATTTATGTCCAATGGCAAGTCAGATTTGGCTCGTGCCGAGGCGGACCCGCTGTTCAAACTCCTGAAATTCAAAGGAGACACTGACCAACTGGATAGAGAATGGTGTTCGTGGACCACTGGTATGCTGTCCTTGCTGGAACTTCACGAAATAGTGAAGTCGTATGAGGTTTCGCTGGCGGAGGTGGAAGAATGGGTCAATGACCTGAGGATATGGTTCGAGCGAGCCAACGTGGTAGAAGAGAAAGATCCCAAAAGGGGCAAAAAGAGGTCCCTAGAAAGGGAGTCCAGCAAGGATATTCCTGCCGAAAAGGAGGTGGTTGAGACTTCGGAGACGGAGGTTGCCGTTGAGGAAGAGGTGAAAAAGGTCAAAAAGAAGAGGAAAACTGCAGCTATCGAGGATCCTTATACTCTCATGGTTCCAAAGCCGAAGAAGATGCCGGCGATCATTGAGAAGGGTGGATCATCATCCAATGCGGTGGTTTCTGCAGGGGAAAAAGCCTCGAAAATGCGCACAAAGTCAAGCGTCGTGGGAAAGACGAAGAAGAAGGAGAAAAGTCAAAGCCCCAAAAAGGAAGAGGTGGTAGTGGTGAAAGGTCCTGAGGAAAAGGATCGTTCCTCTGATGTGGATGCGCAAGCGTCTACCGCTGTGGATGCAGAGCTGGGTCAATCTTGCCAAGCGATTGAGGACGCAAAGAGAGAAGGATTGGTATCCTCAATTCAAAGGTGCGTGCAGGATCCTGTTCTTACAGTTTCGGACCTAGAGTATGTTCTGCTGCGACTTCACCTCAGTATCGATACCCATCGGAAGAAGAAGTGACTGGATGGTATGGATGAAGGGATGGTTTTTCTCTTTCTGAAGACAGGTGTGCTGGATCAGCCAATGCGCTGAAAATACGGTGGTTACTATTAAGGGTATGGAAATCCCTGATAGTAGAAGTCAGTAGCTTTTTGCGTAGCGAAGACCACGGTTCGTGGTGAAGAAGACCGAAGAGTCTTCAATGACAAGAGGATCATGGTGAAAAAAGATTCTCTGTGGTTAGTGGGTTTAGCCAATGTGCTATAAATTCGTCCTGGATGACGTAAAACCATATTGTGCATTTCAAGCAGCTGGCTGCTGCCTAAATGGCGGTTTTTGGCCAAAGATCTGCACCTCCAATGTGTCCTAGGAAATCCTAGGACAGGGGGAGTGCGGAGCTGCAGTTGGTATTGTAGAAAGGAGTTGGTATTGGGAGTTGAAGGGTCAATGTACCCGGTAATCTTCATGGCTCAAGACTGGGCCATGCGCCTGGTAGCAAAAAGAAGTTTTGAGTTCCTGTTGTTTGCTGGTTGGTTCAGGGTGAATTCTTTGGCGACTGTTGGGGTTGGTTTCCTCTCCCTTTCGGTTGCCCCCCGTATAGGGTTTAGGGTTTAGGACTTCAAACCTCAGTTCTTGACTCATTCTCACCATGAGGGCGGCATGAAGTCCTTGAGGGAAATGCTTGGCCACTCGCAGACTTCTTGAAGCAGACGCCTCGCCCTGTAGACTTGCCAACAGAGCTGCTGCTGGAGCTGCTGCTTGAATCTGGGTTTAGGGTTTAGGGTTCAGGGTTTAGGGTTAGGGTTTGGGAAACACCAACTAAACCAAACCAGCACGCCAGGGAGCGCCGAAAGTGCTGCGCCGTTTCCTCATTTCGAGGGTTCACGCCGTGAATGCGCCGGGGTTTCGGAACCCCAAACCCTTGTGAGCCTTGAGGCTCCCTAAATGAGGGTTTAGGGTTTAGGGTTAGGGTTTAGGGTTTAGGGTGAGGGTCCATGTAGTGTGCCCATTTCCTATTGTCATTCGCCTCTGACATTTAAGGGACCAGACATTTAGAAACAATTCCCTAAGCTGTCCCTGAGCTCGAGGGACATGACAAAACCTAGTGTAAGCTGCTAAAGCCCTAAATCCTAAACCTAAAACCCTCTAAAACCCTAAAACCCTAAAACCCCTAAACCCTAAACCCTAAAACCCTAAAACCCCTAAACCCCTAAAACCCCTAAAACCCCTAAAACCCCTAAACCCCTAAACCCCTAAAACCCCTAAACCCCTAAACCCCTAAACCCCTAAACCCCTAAACCCCTAAACCCCTAAACCCCTAAAACCCTAAACCCCTAAACCCCTAAACCCTAAACCTAAACCCTAAACCCTAAACCCTAAACCCTAAACCCTAAACCCTAAACCCTAAACCCTAAACCCTAAACCAAACCCTAAACCCTCAAAGCGAAGAGGAGCTCCATACCTGGCTCAGCCTCCCTGACGCCCGTGGCTGCCTCGAGCAGGTCCGGTCCACAACAGGCCAAGGGGGTTCCTGTAAGAGGGGTTGGGATTTAGGGTTTTAGGGTTTTAGGGATCAGGGTTTAGGGCTTAGGGTTTAGGGTTTAGGGTTTAGGGTTTAGGGATGTTCCCCCTTATATTAACAGTCCTTAATGGCAGGGTTTAGGATTTAGGGTTTCGGGTTTAGGGTTTAGGGATGTTCCCCCTTATGTGATCAGTCCTTAATGGAAGGGTTTAGGATTTAGGGTTTAGGGTTTGAGGTTCCCCCTTGTATTAAGAGTCCTTAATGGAAGGGGTTAGGATTTAGGGTTTAGGCTTTAGGGTTTAGGGTTTAGGGTTTAGGGATGTTCCCCCTTATATTAGCAGTCCTTAATGGAACATCCCAGGGAGTACTCAATGTTGGGAAACCCATATCACAGGAATAGGGCCCAGAATCTCTGAATATCAAATCTGAGTTGTGACTCTGAACTGTGGTGCCTTGTATTGGGGTTTTTTGAGCGGAGTTGAGCGGATAGCTCTTTAGGGTGTTCCGAAGGGTTCAGCTGATTTCAATGCGCCTGGTTCAGGATCCCGTCTCGTCCGTTCTTGATGATCTCGCCTGCCATGTCTGATGTCTGAGTCGTGAGAGGTGTTGCTCTTAAACTCATCAGTAGTGGAGTACAACTTCTCTTAAGAGGGGAACAAAGCGGGAACCTTCATCCTTGATCCCAACTATCCCTTTCGCGTGGTGTGGTGGTGTGAAAAGTTCACCTTGACTTATTCAGGAAGCTGAGCAGCCGGGGTCTCGTTCGGGAACGTACATCACAGGGAACCCGAAACCCTAAACCACCCTTTTTATGACAGCTTAATATCAGTTCCCGTGCACGAACCCCGACCAGCAAGGGTGGTAGGAGTGAAGGTTGGTTTAGGGTTTAGGGTTTACCGAAACCCCGACCAGCAAGGGTAGTAGGAGTGAAGGTTGTTAGAGTAACCCTGAGGGTTTAGGGTTTAGGGTTTACCGAAACCCTAATCCCAAAACTTCGTTCTCAACGTTTGCTCATGGAGGCCTGCATCTCGCCACCCCGGGGGTGCAGTATCCCCAGGGTGGCAATGGGGTAGTGGTGCAGGACCTGTGTCTAGGGTTTCACTTGCAGGGCTTACGAGGGTGGGTGGGGGGTGAACATGAGTGTTGCTCGCATTTTGGGCTGCGCAGCCAGCGCATACAGTAAACCCCCAAAAGTTGGAAACCTTTTTTTAGGACAAAGTGTGCTGGGATTCCCGATACTTTACTCTTAGGGATTGATGCTATTGAGTTTCCAACTTTTGGCTTCTACTACAAGTGCCTTGCAGGAGCTCGACGCCGTTATTCTGATCGGCGGAGAAGCTGCAATTTCCAGAGCTTCTTGGGTGCAATTTGTGGTGCACCCCGGTGTTCTCGGAGTTCGGATCGGGCCTAACTAATGGACTCCCAATCTGCAGTTTTCGAGAGGCTACAATGGTGCTGAAGATTCACTTCATGCATCAGGCCCGGCGAAGTTGTTGCAGGGGTGTGCAACTTGCCAAGTGCCGCAATGCAGACATCGTGTTGTCGATAGTGGGAACTTTGGCCCGCGCGCAATTCGGAATGGTGGAAACATGTTGATTGCTTTCGTTTTGACAGCCGCCATGCACACTATGATAGTGTTGGCTTGGCTCTACTGAATGCTGAATGCACCGAATGCACCGTGCCGTACTGTGCAAATCTAGCTAGAGGTATGAGATTGAAATTCGGACTTCGAAATATGATTTTCTATTCGCTTCTTCTAAGTATAATTCTCAGAGAAGTTGAAGTGCCAACGTGGAAGTTTGTCCTCGACAGGCAGAGGTGGAGGCCTTCCACCAGCGCCGCGCCAAGAAGCTGGCACAGCTAAAGGTGCGACAGCCGTCCGGAATGGGCTTCTACCAACATGAAATGCTTGTACATTTAGAGGAGCACCTCCATTTGGTGATCGGGGATGACGGCAGCTGAAGCTAACACACTTTACATACGTGGATTCGACACAGACTGGCAGCCTCAAGCTTGCGAATGAAAGCGCGCCCCTAAACCCTAAACCCTAGACCCTAAACCCTAAACCCTAAACCCTAAACCCTAAACCCCAAACCCTACATTCACTTGCATCCTCAAGGAGCTGGAAGCCAAGGGGATGGGAGAAGACGCCCGCCTCTCATTCGAGGCATGGCCTCATCCCATGCGGTTTAGGGTTTAGGGCTTAGGGCTTAGGGTTTAGGGTTTAGGGTTTAACACTGTAGCGGCACGCCGTTTCTTTCAGAATGGACATTGTACCTTGCATGCCTGCTGTATCTTAAGGACCACATGAACCCAAAATTGGGACCATATACCCTATACTACTATAAACCCTAATCAAGTGTATACGAACCCTAAACCCTGTTAGAGTTCATTTAGAACCTCCTAATTGAGACCCCATCTTGCTGTGAGGTGGATGCGGACCTTATCGGCCGCACCTGTGGGAAGGGCGGCGAGCGCGTGAAGAAGGTGGAGAAGGAATCCCCCACCAAGGTTTTACAAGGAGGGCCCCTTACTATACTAAGTGTAGTTAAAGGACCTATAACTGAATTTAGGATCCTTATGACCTAATTTTGGGGTTCTTATAACTCTGCTTATAACAAGGGGGCCGCCTCCTGGTATGGGGTTGATGCACACGTTTGTGTCAAGAGTAGGAGGATCCCCCTACAATACGGACCTTAACAAGGTACTCCTCATATCGTAACTCCCCAAATGATCAGATCGACGGCTCCCCCGGAGTACAGTCCTGCTGCTGATCCCAGGACTTCAATGTGGAGGTTCGGATACAAGAGAGCCCTCAGGACCTGTGCGCCACACGCAAGCCCTAAAACCCAAAAACCCTAAAACCTAAACCCTAAAACCCTAAACACTAAACCCTAAACCGAATGCTTTCACCGGTGCATGCTTCACGTCCTTTGGAAGGATGGCAGCCCATCGGCTCCACGAAAGATACTGCTCCCTGGCATCCTAGGTAGGGTTTAGGGTTTAGGGTTTGGGGTTTAGGGTTTAGGGTTTGGGGTTTGGGGTTTAGGGTTTAGGGCCACTTGGGGGTGGCCTCCATGGGCCTCCCTTCTCGCATGCCATATCGTCATGAGCAGAGTTCAGAGCAAGCCGCACATCGTTAGGGTTTAGGGCTTAGGGTTTAGGGTTTAGGGTTTAGGGTCAAATCAAGCGGAGGCATGTCATTCACGTCTCGCGTTGTTGCGTCAAGAGCGCGTGAGAGCACCTTGCTCTTAATCCTTGGGCTTTGCTGCGAAGCCGCCCACTATATCCCCCTTGGGAATTATTTTCTATTTTTGCTTATATAAAACCCAAAAGGATATTCAACATATTGAGACTTTCTAAGGGGAATATAGCCCAAAGCATCAAGCAAGGATCTACAGCGACAACGACGCTGCTGCCGAGGGCGCCCGGAGAGCGCTGGAGCTGCAGAAGCAGCTCTACGCGCTCCCAGTGGCACGGTCGCAACATAGTTCGCACATACCAGCAGGGGTTTAGGGTTTGGGGTTTAGGGTTTAGGGTTTAGGGTTTGAAAGCAGGCATTGCCGGAATCGAGTTTTTTTTGACCTCGGCCTCCAGTGCCTTGAATGGTGGATCTCGTCCTTCGGATGAGTCGGGGTGGGGTGCCTCAACCCTATAAGCCATAAAAGCCACAGTGCGGAAGGGCCAAAGCTCCCACATTCGGAACGAACCTGGAACTGCTCACACCATGACGCCCCGACCAATTGGCGCCTTAAAGGGGCCAGAGGAGGACTCTTTCTCTATCCTTTCCAGGGACCTAGGTTCTTGTGTCCTGAAGGGCTCTAAGAACCTATTTTCTTTGGTTACAAGGCCTAAAGCGGGCTCTCATGTAGGGCAGCTCCCTGCAAGGCGGAAAGGATAAAGTGGTTCCAGCGGAACGACAACCGCTTGATCCAAGACGTCACGCGAAAGGTGGGCCAAGGTTGGTTCGGGGCATTTCCCAAATTGGGGGGTACCCCTAGTACGGTTTCAGGGTTTAGTGTTTAGGGTTTAGGGTCTTATAACCCGCCCCCCCCCCCCCCCCAACTACCATGTAACCCTTAGTTGGGAACCATTTCAACCGATTCCCCTCCCTGTTTTGGGGAAACCTCCAAGTTGACATGCTGTTGCTGCGCTGTGTGTATGGGAGCCTAACTTGAATAAGAACTGCCCAGAGAAGCATTCTTGTCAAACAGGCTCCCCCCTTGTTCATTGCCCTTTGCGCCTGTTCTGGGATGTGTCTTGCCCTCCGTTTTCGAACCATGCTTGCCACAGCAATGCCCGGCCACGTGAGCTGACACTTGAAGAAATCTAAGCCGCCCCTGAGTTAACGAACGTTAGGGGTTGAGGGTTTAGGCTTTCGGGTGTAGGCTTAAAGGTTGAGGGTTCAGGGTTTAGGGTGTGGGCTTAAGGGTTGCGGGTTTAGGATTTACAAGGTTGGCTTCTGTTTCTCAGTGCCGCTGTGCAGATTCAAAAGCAAATCCCGGGGCGGGACTGTGACGGGCACGCATACAGGCAACCGAGCAGATCCGAAACCCTAAACCCAAACCCTTAAACCCCCAATGCTACAGATTCTGAACCCGAAACCCAAAACCCTAAACCCCAAACCCTAAACCCTAAACCCTAAGCCCCCAATGCTACAGGCGGGCTTGGCTGCCGCCACTTGGACCGAGTCGGGACTGGAGCTCTGTGGCCAGCAGAGTGCCCTGGAAGATGCTGTGTTGCTTCTGGACAGCCACAACGAGTACTTCCTTGTCTACAAGGATCCTAGTCCCTAAACCCTAAACCCTAAATCCTAAACCCTAAACCCTAAACCCTTGTCACAACCCTAAACCCTAAACCCTCCTGCTTGAGCGAGTGCGAGAGTCGAGACCCTGAACGGAGTGGAGACCTTGAGCGTGTTAGCAGCCATGTCCTCGTGAATATACTCCGGATTCCCCCCAGTGTGGCCCAAGCATCTTTCGTTTGTCTCAGTCGTCCCGAACTTGCTTGAATTTAGGGCTTAGGGCGTGGCTGGTGTGCAGAAAGGCTCTGGGAGGCCATCGAAACAATGATTCCCAACGCGCTCTTGTAGCCCTGTCGTAGCTACTGGTACAATGTGATAATGGCCACATACAAGCAGAAGTCTGACTACCCCTTAAAGGCTGTAGGCTTTAGCTGTTTACTATAGTCAGCCTACTCACAGCCTTAGTAAACCGGACCCATGAATCTGCAAGGCTTCTAAACCCTAAACCCTAAACCCTAAGGATAGAACCCCGAACTGAGCCGGCCAGAGGAGATGGACCGTGAGCAGTACGAAATCCAGATGTCTTTCGAGGCGCGCACCATATCCTCGCTTTCGACTCGAGTAGCATTAGTACGCATCTGTGCGGTGGGGACTGATCTGGGGGGTGCATCCCCTTTTGCCCTGGAAGGTAGCGTTACTTTCCTGAGATCACACAGCAGGAACTGATTCATACGGTGTTTTGCATTCCACAGCGTTAAACCTTACTTATACAAACCCTAAACCATACCAGGTGCTTGCCATGAGTGTGCCAGTCGAAGCCATTCTTCAGCCAACCAATTGTTTTCGGTCGAGTAGCTTCTGACTCCTACAAGGCTCTATTCCCCAACAGAAAGCTCCAAAAAACGTTCCGGCGAGATTTTCATAGCATCCTGATCGTTTGCCGGTGCTTCCTCAGAAGACATGGACCAGAGCGTCGTCAAGACCCCCAGCCCCCAAACACTTGAAGCTGTTAGGACCCTAAAAGCCTTAAAACCTAAGCTCCAAAACGCCCTAAAAGCCTTAAGACTAAGCTCCTAAACCCCAGTCAATCCACGACAGAGCCCTCTGAAACTACGAGGCCTGACTTCGACCCCCAGCCCTTTGTAGGCTCTGGAAGTGGAGCGGCCCACCGGCTGCTCGGGCGTGGTAGTCCCAAGCAAGCTAGGGTTCTGGGTTCAGGGTTCAGGGTTCAGGGTTTGGGGATTTAGAACCACATCATGAAATAAAATGGACCCTGTATACACACATACATACACAGATACATACATACATACATACATATATGCATGTACATCGGTAGGGTCCTAAATAGAACTGAGACAACAGGATGTTCATGATGAATCTCTGGGTAGCAATTGTTGTTTACACTTCCAGCTCTCATTGCCCCTGCAGTACTGCAGCAGCGGAAATTAACGTAGAGCCGGGAGCCTAACACATGCCAAGTGCACGCCTCATGCAACTTCGTACGATTTGGTGTTGGGGCCAGCGCTGGTCGAGAATTCTCAGCATGGGACGGTCAAATCGCCAAGCGCCGAAGCCTGCGCCTTCAGTGCAATCTGAGGCTTCCGCCCGAACCCTCGCACGTCGAAGTCTCGTGAGGGAGCACAAGACCCCAAGGCTCTTCGTGATGCGAGTTGTTTACGAAAAATAGGCGACCCCCAATATCAACTCCCAAATAGACCCCAATCAGGTACCCCTAGTTTCGTAAACCCCCCAAACGTTTGCAGATCTGGTGGTCCCTGCCAGGCAAGTGCCACGATGCGGTCGCGCGGCCGTGGTGGCCGCGGCCGCGGGAGGGCCGGCCCCATCGGTGCCTAAGGGAGGAGTGCTTTGGGAAAGGTGCGTAGCATGAGTGCCGTAGATGACAATAAGATCCACATGAGCATGCAAAGCACCTCAAGTCCTTAACTGTAGTTTCTGTGTTTCTGTGTAGACTCAAGTCCTGCCACAGATGAATCGGCGCACGTACGTCTATGCATACCCTGAACGTCCTGTGGGAGATCCAGCGGTCATTAGTTGACTTCGTTGCATACTGGCTTATGTCGCTCTCGACGAAGAAAACGCCTGCCCTTGCTGACCAGTCTTTGGCATGGTCGACGCTTCCCTGCGAACCTTCTGAAGGTCACGGATGAATTCCCCTAAGCCTTAAAACTCAAGCTTTAAGCTGACCCTGGCGCGTTTGACCGAATTTTGTATATACACCATAGCCAGTCCCCAGCTGCTCAAGTTCAGGGTAGGTATCCTCCACAACTCCGATACAATGGCTTTCCGTCGCCCTTTGCTTTGTGCTCCGACTGCATTGGCATCTTTTGGCATTTGGCCCCTACCCTACAGTGTTGCGCAGGCACCTCCACACAAGCGAGCCAACAAGGCAAGCGAACTGGGCGGGGGGGGGGCGGGGGGCTGGCAACAACACAAGATTTCCCAGAGAACCCTGATGCCGATGAAACCCTGAAAAGGCCCACTGAAAACCCAATTTCTAATCCAACCAAGGCACGGTGGCGCTGCTGGCCGCTGCTGCATGGATGCTCCCGGCCGCCAACTTCACAGCCCCACCCGCATTGCACGGCGCAGCCGCTGCTGGAGGACACGCTCACCCAAAGACAGCTTCGGGCTTGAATTCCTTACCGTAAACGGCAACCCTTGAAAAGCCTAAGCCCCAAACCCCGCAGAAAAACCCTAGACCCCAAACCCAGCTCTCAAAGGGCCACTGAGCTTGGCTTCAAGATCGATGCCATGAGCAACGACAAGTTTCACCCAGCAACATGCACATACACTGCCAGAGCCTGTTAGAGTTTAAAGGTTAGGACCTTAGGAAAAGCCAAGTTGAGGCTTTGATCATCACGTTTGTTGGCTGCCGCAAGCCCCTAAACCCGAAACCTTAAAGGATCCTTGGCCGGCGTTGAGGCCGAGATGAGGACCCCCATGGTCCTGGTCGAGGCAAGTGTGCCCCCCCCAACCACCCCCAAACATCTACATGGGTTAAGGGTTCCGGGTAGTCCCTTAAAACTATGCTCCTTTTGTGGGGTTCCCCTATAGAATACGGCACCCCTTATAAAAAAGGACTCTAAGACGGGGAGCTACCTGTGCTTGTTGCTACACCAGGCCCTTCCTGAGCCGCGCCCCAACGATGCCATGCTTCCTGCGCCTGGCATGCATGATGGAGGATGAAGGGGAGAGGTTTAGGGTGTGTGGCGGGAGCAGTCCATTGGGCTGGGCGGTTGTGGGCGGACCCAAAAGCCCGCTGCAATAGGTGGTGTCTTCTTCCCCCCCTTTCTTGGTTTCGCTCATACTCCCAAGCCTTTTGTGAGTAACGCCTAGCCCTTATCCTAGGTGGAGCTGAACCGCACCTCACTGTACTGGGGCCTGCTGCTCATCTGCATCCTTTCGGTGCTCTTCTCCAGCTACTTCTTCAACTGAGGCCGGGGATCCTTGCAAGCTGTAAAAGCCTAGCAGATTCTTAGTGCGTTCGGTGTTTTGGCTCCTGTACGCCATAGGTTCGAAGTTGGGTTGGGAAACCATGCGCTACGCACAAGCCTTTAGGTTCCATCAGGCGTTGGCACAAGAGTCGCAACAGCTGAAGTGCACTTATCCAAGCCTACATGATGGGAAGTACTGTACTGTACTGTGGCCATGTCCCAAAAAATCATATGCATTGGACGCATGACCAAGAGTTGAACTACGGGAGGGGCTCACACGCCTGCTGGTAAGTTCAGCTACGCAGGTGGCAAATTAATGAGTGCGCCACTACCGAGTTTAAGTGCTTTAACCTTCTTTATGAAGCCCCTGACTACATAGCTGTGCATCCGTATGTGCTGTCGCAGTGTGCCCTAGACCTGAACATTCGCCGCATACCGGAGTGAATGCATTCGCGTGGCAGTTCGTCTGTTCACAGGTGGCTGGCACAGGCTGTGCGAAGAAGACTTTCGCAGCGGGCGTCATGACCCCCTTGGGCTGGGCTTTTTGGAGAAGCAAAAAGATGCTGCCCCAACTTCTGCTTCAAGTCATTCTGACCCCACAACTTCTGCTTCAAGTCATTCTGACCGAGCTGCGGGAAGTTGAAGGGAGAGTCGAGGGCCCTCAGTTTAGCGATCACGGCAGGCAGTCAAGAGGCGACTCCTCAAGCAGCAAGTGGAATCAGAGGCGGGTATCAAGGGTTTGAAAATTGGGGTTCAGGGATTATAGGGTCCAGACTCAAGCAAGAGGATGTTACTTCTTTCCTTCTGGTCCTGAGATGGACTCAGATGCTAGTCTTTGAGTTGTGGCCTGCGAAATCTGCATCTCACAGTTTCAGTTTCGACCATCGAGAAAGTTCGAGCCTCGCTGCAGCAATCGATTCTCGCAGGTGCGGCGCGTGGCAAAACTCCGCTCCGAGGTCGCCGCAAGGCTGCGGACCGCCCTGAAGCCAAGATTTGGTATCACGCCGCATCATGCCTGGATCTGGACTGTAAACCTACGATTACCTGCGCCTGCAGGGGTGGTGTTGACTCAGTAGCGACCGGCATCAGAACGAAGCCAAGTTGTCCACCGCGCAAGGTTGCTTATGAGCATGGCAGAACAGGGCCCTAAACCCTAAACCCTAAACCCTAAACCGCAATACTAGCAACTCTTCGCCTCTGCTTGTCGGCTCGCAGCGATTGGAGGAGAGAGCCGTTCCTGGTAGGAGCTGGGCTAAACATGAAGCCACCCAACCTCGGTCGCCCAAGGCTGTTACTAGTGCAGTGCGCAGCTGAAGCCCAGCCCCTTTGAAGGGTTTAGGGTTGAGGGTTTAGGTGTCTAGGGTTTAGGGCTTAGGGCTTACGGTTGAGGGTGGGAAAGTATATAGCCCCTGCCCACCGGCGGGCTTCCGCACCGCGGAAGTTCTTTGGGCCGCTTTGTAGCGCCATGATGCCAAGAGGTGGGGTGATGGAGGGATGCAGAGAAGGGCCCCCTTACTAGCCTCAGTTTAGGGTTTAGGGTTTAGGGTCTAGGGTTTATGGTTTAGGGATGTTCCCCTTATGCAGTCCTGAATAGGGATTGTCGTACCCCCTATTCTCATCCCCATTAAGGACTGTTAGTACAAGGGGGAACATCCCATGTAACCGTAGCTCAGGGACTTATAACCTAGTTTAGGATCCTTATAACCCAGTTTAGGGTTCTCATAACTCTGCTTATAACTAGGGGAGGGCCCCCTGGAAGCGGAGCAAGAATCCTTTTCCAGGTCTGCAGCTCACATGCAACACCCGTCACCTCGACCCTCAAAATACAAACAATGTTAGTCTATGTACCTCAGATAGCCTCAGATCATACAGTATCAAGGGCCGCTTTGTTGTTTAGCAAGGTCCATTCCTTGTGGGCTCTGAGGGGACATGCCCTTAAAAGTCCGTGTACCTTCATACATGTATTCCGTTTAGCGCATTACATAAGAACTCCTTCACGGCTCATAGAACTTCCCGAAACCTTCAGCTAGGCAGGTGATAAAAAAGAACCCTCTACTGCGTAGGTACCTGAGGGCATTCTCTAGTTGAGGCACCGTTCTTGGGGTACCCTCTACATATAAGGCCCCGATTTTTCATAGGATCCCAAAAAGCGACCCTAGTTTCGAGAACCTGAACCCCTAAACCCTAAACCCCTAAACCCTAAACCCCAAACCCCAAACCCTAAACCCCAAGCCCCCCTAGGGTTGAGAGATCTTGGCCAGGCTTTGATGCGCTACGCGACGCCCAGCGCCTCTGCCAGGGCCAGGGCTTTGGCCACAGCCTCGGGCCCTTCATCCTAAACCCTAAACCCTGAACCCGGAAATCGTGCGGTTAGTTCGATAAAAACACGAATGGAACTCCTGTGATATTGGGCGATTTCGCTTCATCCGGTGGTTTCTACCAGCTGATCCAAGCTGCCTGCAGATGTTCTGGGCACACAGAACAACATCAACCCTAAACCCTAAACCCCCTAAACCCTAAACCCTAACCCTCTTGAAGTCGAAGCTACAAGGCGAGCAACTCCGTGATGTGCAAAAGCAGTTCTACGAGTCGGAGATCGATTCCACCTGCAACGTCCCGCTGGCCAGAGGCATTCAGGGGCAGGTGGTTTAGGGTTCAGGGTTCAGGGTTCAGGGTTTAGGGTTTAGAAGGGTTTAGGGTTTGGGGTTTGGGGTTTAGGGTTTACTGGAGGTTCAGCTTGAACAATTATCATGTGTAGCTGGTTGTAGGAAGGCAGTGAGATTCCATCATGGAGCTGCATGGAAGTACTGTATGAAGAAAGATGCTTCAAGGCGGCATTACCCTTGCTTCTTTCTGATTCACCCTTTCGCCCTTTCCTGAAATGTTGCTTCGATGATTTGTACGAGTCGCTTTGTGCACCGACTCCTTTGCCAAGAGTTTTGATCACTTGTCCAGCACCGGTGCTCCAGGCGTTCTCAGAGCATGGGGGCGCCCAGCATGCGCGGCAGAATCTGAGCCCCGGCACAGGATGCCAGTGTTCACTTGCATGGAAAGAAGGACTGTAGGAATTGCACATCTCGCACTCCTAGCGCTGTATGCATGCCCGACGGGACTGCCGGCAGTTCACGGTCAGCTCATTCTCCATTTTGATCTAGCTTAGGGCACCCAATACGAAAGGGACACGACATGATGGGGACTCCAAAACGAGGCTGCGATTTTGAAAGCTGGAGTACGAAGATGTTGGTTTGAGGGGAGAGGGTGTTTGAATTTAGGGTCTCTTTGTTTTAGGGTTTTTAGGACATACCCCTGAACCCAAGGCTCCGTACCATCATAGGCTTACGTAGGTTTTTGGACAAGGTTTGAATCCGCCACTGGTGTTTCCTTTTGGTATGGGAGTTGACCCAAATGATGGAATCTTGCGGGCTTTTCTACAAGGCAAACGGCCTAAAGCTGCCCCCGAATTTAGTCCCCGGCCCCCTTCCCGCACATACACTTAAGGGGTATAAGGTCCCCCTGTAGAACCCCTATACAACCCCTATGGCCCCCTAAATAAGCCCTTTAAGGTCCCTTATGAGGGTCCCTCCTACTACTTTTCAGGAAGCCACAGCTGTGGAGTCTTTGCCCGGAGCCGTTGAGCCCGGGTCAGCGACCGCATCGATCTCTGCCTCTCGGCAGCCTGGGAGTATATGAGTCACCATGCGAAGCTGTAGAGTCGACTCCAACAACCCTAATCCCTAAACCCTGAACCCTAAACCCTGAACCTACCGGCGAGTGTGAGAGTCCCAAGTAGATCTTGAACATGTAGCAACTAAAATAGGCCCAGGTGCGAGTCTCTCAAGGATTATATAGATAATATGTTTTCTTATATATACATATATACATATGAGTATCCATATTTGTTTATGTTTTGTAAGTTTTGTATACTAATCGACTCCGAGATTAACCTCAGGCATGTTGAGGGAAGGAGCAAGGAGCCTAATCCTCCCCACTAGTCCCTAGGGCTCCCTAAGCTTCCAAAAAGACGCCCTAGGTACCTGCCCCCCCCATGAACCCCCCCCCTAAACTCTAAACCCTAAACCCTTAACCCTTAAGAACCCTAGAAAATAGCTTGGTCACGGAGGCTTCGGAAGCTCCTGTCACTTTGCGGAGCAGGCGCAAAGCTTCCATGCGCAACGAGTTTGTAGGGTTTAGGGTTTAGGGTTTAGGGTTCAGGGTTCAGGGTTCAGGGTTCAGGGTTCAGGGTTTCGGCAGGGTAGCATTAGGGTAGCGTTTTAGGGATCTTCGGCCGCAGTAGACATGAAGTGCCGGGTTCCTCACCGGATGGGCTTGAGGCTGCAAGAGCTTCCTAGGACCCTTAAGGACACAAGACTTGGGAACAGGAACCCTAAGCCCTGAACCCTAAACCCTAAACCCTGCTTTGTGGCCTGGCTATGCGGGAGCGAAAAAGCCCGAAACCCTAAATCCTTTAACGCCAGGAGGACAAGCGTTGCAAGCAGACTCAGCCAGCGCCGCAGCCGCCCCAGCCGGCCTTCTTCAGTCGTGGTTTTAGGGTTTACGGTTGCAGTGTTTAGGGTGTAGCCTTCACCCCCCGCCCCCTATGCTAAGCTACAGTAAAGAAGGAACACTAAGTTCCCTAAACCCTAAACGCACCACCACCCACCGCCCCCCTCCCCAGACTAAACCCCATAAAGACTTGCCTCGCAGCGTTTTGTACATTTTGCACTGAGCATCGTCCTACCTCATGGCAGATTTCCCCCAAATCTTCTGTCGTCCGGAAGCGTTTCCCTGCAGTGTGGCTTGTTCTGCTCGGCGCGTGGCAAAGCCCCACACTCCCCAAACAACAAACAAACAAGCAAGCAAGCAAGCAACCAAAAGAAGAGGAGAATAACCAGAGCCTTGACGATTTGTTTACATTGAGGGGGGTTTGTCTCTTTAGTACTGGGGAATGTGATGAATAGGGTGAGCTTGGTTTGTTGAGCATATTTTTGTCTCTCCAAATCTCCCACATGTGCCACATGCGCTGCAGCAGGGCTGCCCGTGGCAACTGCAGGGATAAGTAAAGACTTGAGCCGTCATGAAGCTTAGTGAAAGAAGTAGCCAAACCAGGCTTACGAAGTCCTTCACACTTGCAACTCAGCCCCAGCCAGCATAGCTGGGGCACAACGACTTGGGACGTTCCCCCCTTACTTAATGGGGATCAGAATAGGGGTGCCACAATCCCTAAATAAGGACTGTTAGTGTAAGGGAGAACATCCCAAGCAACGACCTTCGTGGATGCTCGGAGCTTCTGTTCCCGAGGTCTTGAGTCCTTGCAGATTGAGACCGCTGTTGACACTCCCAAGGAGAAGCAGCGGTGATTCGGCATGAGTCTTTGTGTGTTTTTTAGGTGCTTTGTACATGGTTTCAGGGTTTTAGGGTTTAGGGTCTAAGGTAACAGCGGAAGCTCAACCAGAGGCTGTCCCTGAATCCAAGCCGAGGTACGGCCCGGAGCGCTTCTTCTACGACCCAACAACGTACACGGGTGTCCACAAAAATGGGCCGCCGACCACCGTGGACAAGGAGAGGTCTCATCAGTGCGTGGCATAGCACATATAAGTATACATACATATCATACATACATTTAAACATACATACATATAAACATATCTACATGTGTGTATATATATGTATATATGTGTATATATAAAGAACACATATACATATATATATATATATATGTATATGCATACATAGATACATAGATACATAGATACATATATACATATATACAAAACACACGTCCCGTTCTTGGAGAAGCTGGGAAGGAGCTGGTTCAGCAGATTGTGCGGGATCCATCCCCGCGAAGTGCCTCGCCTCGCATTCGACTTGCCATGGGCGCCATGGTAGGGGCCGGCGAGGATCAGCTGAATGTGGGGGTTTAGGGTTTAGGGCTTAGGGCTTAGGGCTTAGGGCTTACGGCTTAGGGTACCTGATTGGGGTCCTCATTATAAGGGAATCATACTAGTTTGGGATCTATATTTGGGGTCCCCTATTTTCGGAAACCCCAAAGTAGGTATTCAGACCCCTTGTTGGTGGGGTCAGCTTAGGTCGCTCGGCCTCTGTGGCATCTCTCTCCCCTCGAGCTCGCGCGGCTTCTGCATCGATGACACCCCGAGCTAGTGGCGTCTTCACCAGCCCCTTGTTGAAAATCATAGGTCCTTCTGTGGGATGTTCCCCCTTATACTAACAGTACTTTAAAGGATTATAAAAGGGGGTACGATAATCCCGGTTAAGGACTGTTAGTGTAAGGGGGAACATCCCAAGTCCTTCTCCATATTCCGCAGATGCAAATTCCAGCAAGTGGTAGATCGGGTGCAAAGGAGAGGCCATTGTTCAGCAGGGTTGAAACGCCTGCTCAAGACCTTCTGCCTCTCCTACGGACGTTCCCATCAGCGTTTTTGGCCGAACCTGCCTCAGAGAAGGGCAAGATACAATGAGCAGGGAAGCACGCTGGAAAATACAGGCAACAGGCCTGCTTGCAGCTCTGATTTCGAAGCCAGCTTGAATCCTGAAAGGCTCCCCGCTTGAAGCACAGCAGCTCACAGGCGTCGCCAGCGGGCCAGGCTTTCGCTGTTCCCAACCTGCCACCTCCCCCCCTTTTCGAGCCGAGAAGGGGGGGGGGGGGGGTTTGGGCATCATGGCTTAACGCATTTGAAGTTTGAAACCGTTGACTGAGCCCCTGGTGCAACTGCAGACAATTGTTTGGATTCTGGCTGACATCACTTTGACGAAAATGTTGGGGAGGAGGATGAGGATGGGGATGACGATGAGGATGACTATGATCAGGATGATGATAGTGAAAATGATCAAAACAATAACGTTGTCCGTATGAATTTCCAATGAATCTGCGAATATGTACATATGTCTCACTAATCCAGAAAATGGACGATACTAGACCACAGGGTACAAGGAGGGGCCCCCCTAGTAAAAAGTAGAGTTATAAGAACCCTAAATTGGGTTATAAGGATCCTAAATTAGGTTATAAGTCCCTTAGCTACAGTTAGTACTGTAAGGGGGCCCCTCCTTGTAGAGCTAGACGCACAACCCTCAGGCAACAGCACTGTGCTGGGCTTTCCTTTGCCGCATGCGACTTGCTTTGTCAGTTGTGTTGCGCAAGCGTGGGAGGAAGCTGCGACGTATTTTTAAATTTACAGAAGTGCGGTCAAAGCTAAACCCTAAACCCTAAACCCTAAATCACCTTTCCTTATCCGAAAAAAGGCTTCAAGCTCGTTTCCCCGGATGGCGATTCACCTCGTAGAAGCGCCGGGCCTAGCTGACAGGGGGCTTGGGTGTTTCGGGTTTCGGGACTCTGCAGAATTTGATCTCTGGAGCTTAAAAGGATTTATGGGGTCAGGTGAGTGCTTGCACCATTTCCACCAGTAGCTGGGTATGCTTCTGCTCAGATTCCTGCATGTTGGCGTGCTCAACGTGTCTAGGCCACGTCTCCGCGATGGAGACCTGCAGAAGTAGAGCTTGCAGGACGTGCAGTTCTCTAAGTCACGGTCCCTTTCTTTGTGTGCCCAAAATGGAAGCCGTATGATCGTAGGGGGGGCCCCCAAAAGGTACCAAAATGCCTCAAAGCCTCAATCTGCCAGATGCCGACTCAGGAACCATTGCAGGGGGAAGCCTAGACGATATCCGCCCCTCGGCCAAAGCAAAGAAAGCTGGCTTTGAAGGGTTGAAGGTTTACAGTTTAGAGGCCTGCAACTCTTGAATTTCATGGGGCTCTACCTTGAACCCCTAAGGTTGTACCCTTGGGTTTTGGGGACCCTTTGAAAGATCCTCTAAGAAGGACGATTCAGGGCCGTTTTAAGAGTATCTTCAGGGGAAGCTCTTGGAGGTACATCCTTCAGGGGTCCGAACTTCGACTCCCCCTGACTTAGGGGGAGGAGGCCCTTTCTCGATGCTAGTTTGGTGAGCTGAGTTTGAGGAAGCCTTTCCCCGCCAAGCGTATAAAACCCTAAGCCATAATCCCCTAAACCCCGATTCTCCTCCCTTGCTTGAAAGGTTCTTGGGTAGTCAAGTGCTCAGTTGCGGTACGGCATGGGAAATAAGGCTATGGCCCTGAGCGGTTCTTCTACGACCAGGGCACCTACACAGGCAAGCCGGTGCAGCAGCGGTGTCAGATTAGTCATCTCCAGCCCCTTCGATCAGCAGAGATATCGAAGCCTAGCTTGGCCAACGCCTTTTCGGTTATCAAACCCTTCAACTGCATTACAATCGTTCTATTCTCTTGTAGTTCGCCAAACTGCGCCAGGAAGTTCTAGGCTAGATGTCCCTCACCAGACCATCGTGCGGGTCAAAGCTCTCATGTGGGTGGAGGGGGGGAGAGCGGCGGTGGCAGGGCGCTTCGGGGAGTTTTCGCCTAGCTCACTCCCCATCTCCGTTGAACACAAGGTGGCCCAGTCACGCCTTGGAAACCCAAAAACCCTAAAGCCCCCCAGACCTTCTCAATTCCCTCCACCCACAGAGTCTACCCCGCATTAGCCCATGTTTGTAGAGATCTTCAACACCGGAAAGAGGCCTATACCCTAAACTCCAAACCTGAAACCCAAATAATTGCAAAACGGCTCAAATAAACCCCAAGCCTTAAAAACCCTAAACCCTAAAGCAAAGCAACCTCCACGCAAGGCACCCACCGCCACGGCGGCCCTAAGGTGGCGGAGGCCTCGGAGCCCGTGCGGAGGGCCTCCACGATGACGATGCCACTGGGGCTGGGTTTGTGAGCTTTGTGGTGGATTTTATAGGGTTTATAGGGTTTATAGGGTCTATAGGGTCTATAGGGTTTATAGGGTTTATAGGGTTTATAGGGTTTATAGGGTTTATAGGGTATATATATAGGGTTTATAGGGTATATATATATATATAGGGTTTATAGGGTTTATAGGGTTTATAGGGTCTATAGGGTTTATTTATAGGGTTTATAGGGTATATAGGGTTTATAGGGTTTATAGGGTTTATAGGGTTTATAGGGTTTGTAGGGTTTATAAGGTTTATAGGGTTTATAGGGTCTATAGGGTTTATAGGGTATATAGGGTATATAGGGTTTATAGGGTTTATAGGGTTTTTAGGGTCTATAGGGTATATAGGGTATATAGGGTTTATAGGGTTTATGGGGTTTATAGGGTCTGGGGTTTGTTTGTTGGGTGTCTATAGGGTTTACAGGGATTGGGATTTGTGATTTTTGTATATCATACGTTATACATAAATTAATAGGTATACATATATATATATATATACACATATGTTTATGTATTTATCTATTTATTCATATAACCTGTGATATCTCTATATTTATATCCTCAAACATTTCCACACTCCGCCCAAGGACACCGCGCTCACCACACAGCGCGCGCGGGTCCACGGTGTCCTTGGCCTCGGACTCTCGGAGAGTTTGTTCCCCAAACAAAGCTAGGGTTTATAGGGTTTAGGGGTTAGGGGCTAGGGTTTAGGGTTTAGGTTTGCCAGCTTGAGCTATGGCGTTTGGGATGTTACCCCTTATACTAGCATTCCTAGTAGGGATTATACTGGGGGAGGGGGGGGGTACTAGAATCCCTATTGAGGACTGCCAGTATAAGGGGGGACATCCCATACTATGGCGTTCTTACATGGCCCAGTAGAGGTCAGGGACGTAATAACGTAATTTAGCTGCCCGGCGTCATCGCCCGAAACGCTGCCTTTTTTTGGCGAGCTCTGGCGCAGTGCGAACGTTTTGCGGCCCTTTCCGGTCGGCTCTGGGGCGCAGGGTTCGGCGAAAGTGGGGGACAGCAGAATTGGAACGACACAGAGAAGATTAGCATGGCCCTTGCGCAAGGATGACAGCCAAGCCAAAACAACAACCTCAACCCGAATCCCCCCCCCCCCGTTTTGGTCGCTTTTACGACTGCTGGCCTCCTTTATTGTGGCTTTCGAGATGGCTCGTTTGGTTGTTGCCTGCAAGGCTGCCGTAGAGGCCTCTGCCGCGAAACCTTAGCAGCTCCTTGCCCCCGAACCCAAGAGTCGAACCCCTACCATGACTCCTGCGAACCCTGAAGCCAGCAACTTAGTAGCCCTTTCAGCCGGACACTCTATACCTGGGCCCGCAAAGTATGTAACAACATGTTTTGCACATACTTTGGGGGGGTGTAGGTAGCTACTATAGGCCTCAATTCCTTAACCCCAAGCCTCGTCAAACCTAAGCCCGAACACCCCATATAGATCCTGAACCATGACATGCCAGGCCAACAGCTTTTACTCCTGGTAACACACACACGTGTGTATATATATATATATCTATATTTTTTGTTTGTTGATTTATTCATTTGTTTGGGGGGGGGTTTCGGGTTTAGGGTTTAGGGTTTAGGGTTTAGGGTTTAGGGTTTAGGGTTTAGGGTTTAGGGTTTAGGGCTCTTTGTACTTCTTCAGCTTACTAGTCAAAGGCAGATTTTCAGGGAAAGCGCCCCTTAGTTAAGGATCATACCTGGGCCATTTAAAGTTTTGAGCCGGCAGGGTAGGACACCCAGCAGCACCCAGCCAAACCCGAGACACTCAAGGAAGCGGGGTCTGTGCCCGGGTCTGTGCGGCTGCGTTCGCCGACTGGTCCTTCAGGCCTTGACCGAAATCAGAGTTTACTAAGTTTCAGGCACTTTTTTGGGTTCCCTAAATTACTATCAGACTATGGGCCGGGCAATTCTACATAGTTAGGGCACGTGCCCCAAAATAGAAAGTGTCACATGACTTGCCCCCCAAGCGAATTTTTTCGGATTCACTGAGCGTTTGGCCGAATTTCAACCTAAACCATATGATCAAGGGTCCCTATGTAGCTCAAGGTATGTTTCTTCATTCCGGGGCATGAGGCTCTCTGTCTGTGTCCCAACATCTCAATTATGTGGGCTTTGTGTTTAATTAGATTTTAGATGGCAAGGAACTCTGAACAAAGATTCGGATCATGGTCTTCATCCCTTTTACCAAGTCAGCCCTTTTGGATGGTGTGTAAGGACTCTACCCTTCTTTTCACAGGGCCAGCCCAGCTAAGATGCCAACCTGCCATGGTGCCATGAGGTTTAGGGTTTAGGGTTTAGGGTTTAGGGTTTAGGGTTTAGGGTTTAGGGTTTAGGGTTTAGGGTTTAGGGTTTAGGGTTTCGGGGTTAGGGATGGCCATCCCATGGCAACCTGTTGGAAGGTGTCGCCAAGCGATTGGACCTCAGCCCGAGCCCGAGCCTCTGCTTGTCTGTGACACACGGCAGGCAAAGGGCACAGGTTTAGGGTTTACAGGGTTTATAGGGTTTATAGGGTTTATAGGGTTTATAGGGTTTACAGGGTTTACAGGGTTTACAGGGCCTCATAGGCCTTCCAGGTTTTATAGGGTTTATGGGGATTCTTGGGTCGTACAGGGTTGATAGGCCTGATAGGGTTTATAGGGTTTACAGGGCCTGATAGGTTATATATATATATAGAGTTTCCTCCCCTCAGTTCCTGGATGCAAAGATGAGGTTGATGTTTGGAAGGGTTAAGGTTCAGGGTTTAGGGTTTAGGGGTTTAGGGTTTAGGGTTATGTAACAATTGGCAACAAGGGTCATCGTGGTTAGGCTTGCACTCATAGCTTGCACTTTGCTCCTCCAGCCATGAACTGGAAGTCCAGCGTCAGCCGGCACAACCTTCGTAAACACCTTTGCAACTGGTAGGCCCTTGAGACTATTGATGTTGTCCCTTTTTGGGTTAACAAGGATTCGGTTTCGGAATGTGGTTCAGAGGGCTTTAGAAGGACCAACCTAACCGACGTGTCGAAACCTCTGCGGAGAGTACAGTTACAAGTCTGCGAGCACAACGAGTTGGACATGTCGTGATCTAACTCGGGCTCGTCCCACAATAATCTTGGAGCCCCAGTAAGAGAACCCCCCAATCTTGGGAAACCACATGGGAGGTTCTCCAAAAAAAGTCCCTGGGCCTTTCTTGGGGGTTCCTATACTAAT